TGTGTATCTTTGCTGCTGACTGTTTAAAAAGAAAGGCAGCTTCAAAGAGGAAGGTGGGTGGTCTTAACACGGTGGAGGCCCAAGGTGGACAAGCACCCAGAGGCCACAGAGGCACACAAGCCTCAGCCCCATCTGGAGCCTGGGGAAAGCAGGGACACCACACAGAAGGAGATGCACCGTAAGTGAGCACTGCCTGCTCTTCAGGAACTGGGCAGTGGTGACCAAATACTACAGGCAAGAAGACAAGGCCAAGCGTGATGCTGGACACAACAAAACAATCACACGCACCCCATCAGTTATGGGTTAAAAGCTGAAACTGCAAAGGATTTTAAACCAGATGTTTAAAGAGCCTCTTTGGCGCCTCTTGAACTAATACAGACATTTTCACCAAGAGGGCCTCAAACCCAAGGATCCAAGGTCAGCCGTGTCCATGAGGATGAATGACACGTGCTAAACCAACCAACCAGTCTGCAAGGACAGTCGCACCTGGACCTCTCCTTGCTGATGTTGGACATCATTGTCCAACGTATCCTTGTGATGAACTCCAATCCACATCAGTCCTGCTAACTGCAAATCTTAACAGCTATAATTTAAACTAGAAATTAAAGAGAACAGCTGGAGTTAGAAATCCCGCTTCTGTAACTCTGACTTCGAAGTATGGTTTATCTTTGACTTGATCTCAAATAGAAAGGTTTAACTTCACCTTTCAAACACAGCACTTAAAAAAAGAGCTTTCACTTTTGAAGGATTTGTCTGCTACCGTTTTAAGAATACAGTCAGGCACCGCCTAACCACGCTTCAGTCAACCACGGACCGCATATGTGACGGTGGTCCCATGAGATTGTAATGGCTATGCCACGTAGCCTAGGTGTGTACACAGGATACACCATTTAGGTGTGTGTAAGTGCACTCTGTGATGTTCACACAACAACAAAATCACCTAATGATGCAATTCTCAGAAGAGAACCCCGTCGTTAAGTGACGCACAACCACACACGTAGGGCCTGATGTCTAACTTAGTTTCCTCCTTCCCACCAAAGAAAACTTTGAAACTCCTTCCTTTAATGGGGTTTCTGAGGCCTAGAGTCTGCCATAAACCACTTGGCATCTCCCTGTGTGCATCTGTGCTTGACCAGAATAACCACGAGAGCAGGCAGAAAGCACAGATGAGACACTTTACTCCAGCATGTCCTTCCACTTTTCATATTAAATATCTGAAATATATTAATCTTAAAAAAACAATATTAACACAGTGCTCAATGGATATAGGCAGCGGAGTCAACAGTAAGTCCAGATTGCAAAATCGTAGGTTACTTAAAAAACTGGAGTGTGTATGCGCTCAGTCCCAGAACTTTTCAGCCGCCTCACGGCCGGGAGCGCGTGGACTTGCACAATGTGGCAAAGGGGGAAGGAAAGGAAACCTGAGGCTTTCAGTCTCTAAGGAGGTTCTCGGGCTTGGGGTAGCCGAAGAGAACAAAGTCTGCTTCGTAGAGTTTGTAGAGCTGCTGCCTCCAGGCCAGGGGGATTTTGGCAAACCAGCCCTCCTCCCAGCTGCTGGCAGTTCTGTTGCGGTAGCTCGGGGGGAAGTGGAGACGCTGGTCCACCTTGAGAAGCCTCAGGAGCTGGGCGGCGTCCTCGTCCAGGGTCTCCAGCTTCCCCACAAAGTCGTAGTCTATCTGGCACGGGTGGCAGAGGCGGTACACCTGGCGCCAGTGCTCGTTGAAGGGCGCCAGCTTCTCGGTGCGCGGGTCCAGCAGGTACTGGATGAAGTGGGCGAAGGACAGCTTGAGGCCGGAGCTGAAGGCCTCGGCGACCGAGGCGGGCAGGCTGCTGTGGTTGGCGTACAGCTGCAGCATGGGGACGGCGAACTTGCGGTAGAACTCGTCGTTCTCCAGCTCGAACTTGCTGCGGAAGGCGGAGATGAGCCGCACGAAGGGGTCGCGCACGAACAGGAACTTGGTGTACTTCTTCAGCTTGACCTTCATGAGGTGGCGCGAGAACTTCCCGTAGCGGCGCCAGAACTTGTTGAAGGTCAGGTGAGTGCTGGAGTTGTGCACGTGCTCGCGGGGGATGTCCAGGGGGTCGCGGAAGGGCGCGCCACGGTCCAGGAGGCTCTCGCTCAGGACGATCATCACGCGCTTCCAGTTGGTGCAGGCCACCTTGGGCACGTAGCAGTAGATGACCCCGTGGCGGTCGTCCACGATGAGGTGGTTCAGCTCGTAGTTGGGGATGTCGTCGAACGAGCGCTCCTTGGTGGGGAAGGCCAGGCTGGCGTTGGCACAGGAGGCCCGCAGCACGCTCAGCCGCTCGGCCTGCTGCCGGCCCTGGTCCAGGCTCCGC